GAGAGAGAGAGAGAGAGAGAGAGAGAGAGAGAGAGAGAGAGATTGAGTGGGTGTGCTTGTGGGGTCTTTTCCCTCCTTCCACCTTTAGGAGGGTTCTGGTCCTAGAACTCAGGCTACCAGGCTTGTGTGTCAAGCCCTTTTGCCTGCTAAGCCATCTTGCTGTCTCTATAGAAAGCTTTTATTATGAGATATATTTGTGTGTGATATTTTACTTACACCCTTTTTTCCTAGTACATTCCTTAAAATAACTGGAATCAGAGCTGAGAATTAGTCAATCTTTTCATTGGTGTGGCTGTTTTGGTTACTCTTTATTATACTGTTACTTTACAAGACACTGGATAAGGCAGGTTAGTTGTTTTACACATTTGTCTTACCAGTAGTACCCATGGTTCATGAAATCTAGAATGCATCTGTCTTATTCATTGCATAATTCCTAGTGCACACATAGTAGCCAATGTTTCTAATTTTCTTGACGACTGCTTGCAGAGCTGCACCAAACTTTAAAGAAAATTGCTATTTTTTCATTTAAAGGAAAACCACCCCAGCTGTCATTTCAAGCGGCAGGGTCTCAGGATGGCCGTGGACAGTGAAAATGCAGGAGGCGTGGACACTGCTGTTCACACTGCTGTTCAGCACATCCTCTTGCTTAGTAATTCTGGAAGCTGTGTTACAGTCACAAAGTGGTTTTGAGCATAAAGTCAGAGCAGGCAGGGTGATGCTCTTAGGTGGCTGATTGTCTTCCATTATAGCTTGTGCCTCTACTCATGAGGACTGGATAGTTAAGCGGCCCTACAGTGAACTCTGCCCCATGTTAGGGAGGTGTTGGTGACTTCCTGATTATCTATTGTTCTGTTTTAAATATGTAAAACCCTTCTCTTCTGTGAACTCCGTCCGTCCTCATATGGGCTGTAACTTTTTGGTTGACCCTAGATTTAGCTGTGCTAGTTAGTCATCTTTGAAGTTTAGAGACCAGCATATTTTTTTTATTTTAAATATTTTTTTTATTTTAGAAGCACTCTTATTTACATATCTATCTTCCCATTCCCTCATCCTCCCATCCTCCCATGCTCCCCACTGACCCCCCCATCCCACCCCCCACCTACTCCCCAGGGGACCATCAAAGTCAATCACATCATCTGGGAGAGGGCTTAGGCCCTCCTTCCCATATCTGGGCTGCAACAGTATCCCTCCATAGGGAATGGGCTCCCAAAGTGCATTTGTGCTCTAGGGATAAAGACTGGCTCCACTGTTAGAGGTCCCATGGACTGCCTTGGCCTCCTAGCTGGCACCCACATTCAGAGGGCTTGGTTTGATTCAATGCTGGTTCCCCAGCTTACCAGCATTTTAATTGAAATTTAAAGAAGAGAGATCCTTAGAATAACTTGGGCACTTTCATGTGCAATTTACACTAGATATTTCTTCAGGCTCAAACACATGTAAGTGTACATATATAAACATAGAGCATCACAGTTCTTTATATAACATCAGTGTATACATGACTATTACTTGGCTGTATAATGTAAATATTTGCAGTGCTGGGAGTGAAACCCAGAGCCTTACATGTGCTAGGAAAATTCTCTTCCACTGAGCTATCTCATAGGTCTTCAGACAGTATTTCTACAGTGCACTGTTTTTCTAGACTGTTCTTCAAGAATTTGCTCTCTTCCTTGTTTTGGCTGTATCTAAATTTCCAAAATGGAGACAGGACATTTAGCAGTGTTAGCGTAATGTTGAACTGCAATAATAAAACTATTGGCATGAGTTTTTGTTATTCTAGTTCAAGTTAATGACAACCCATGGGAGGGAGTAGCCTTCCAATCTTAAACCTGAAAAGGTACATGTACCTCTGAGAGAGAGAGAGAGAGAGAGAGAGAGAGAGCGTGCGCATTCGTGCATGCGTGCATGCGAGCATGTATGTATTGTGCATGGTGTGTATGCTTGTGTGTGTATGTGTGCATGTGTGTACATGTGTGTCTGTCCAAGAAGTGCCTTGCAGAGAAAACAAAGGTGCCCCTGTGTGACAAATGCTGTCTTCTTTGGCCTTTTGCTCTGTTCTCGAATTCTCTAAATAGGGACTTTCAAATTACTGACGGGAGCTTGTTTTATACTTTTTGGCTCAAGTTTCACATTCATAACACTTCTAAGAAAATAAGTCATTTCTTCTGAAATTCTCCAGTGTTTTATTCTGTAAAAAAAAAACAAAAAACAAGAGACTCAAGTCAGAAGAGTTGGCATCACAAGGCCATTTCTTATTGGAATTGTGTCTTGTTTATTAACTTACTTTTTCTGAGCCTCTGCTGAGTTTCCTTATTTATAAAATGACTTTTAAAAATAATTTATTTTTGGATTATGATTAAATCATTCCCCCCATTCCTTTTCCTCCCTCCAACTCCCCCTAACTTCTCTCCCCATGCTCTCTTTCAAACCCATGGCCCCTTCATTAATTGTTGTTGTTACATGCATATATCTGTATGCATATATAAAATATTTATTATACATTATATATTATACATGTAATAAATATAACTTTCTCAGTCTGTCTACTGTTACTTGTCTGTGTGTTGGGGTTCATAGTCATCATAGCTGGACAAGACTACCTGTTGCTTCCCTTGCTTGGAAGTTTGCATGGTGCCTTCTGATACCATTAGATCTTCAGGAAAGAGGCATTCAAGTCAGTTACAGCTCAGTTGTCTCTGGGCCCTGTTTTGGAAGTACATGGTGTTTTCAATGATAGAGACTTACCTTCTAACCTCTGAGGGTGGGACCAAGGGCAACAGCAATAGTCTGTAATGTTTGGAAGTCTCTTTAACAATTCTGACCAACAATTCAAAGGAGGGCTTCTTCATAGCTGCTGTTGGTTTTTATTTTTTATTTTATTTTATTTTCTTTAACAATTCTGACCAACAATTCAAAGGAGGGCTTCTTCATAGCTGCTCTTGGTTTTTATTTTTTATTTTATTTTATTTTTTATTTTTTTTGCTAGATGGTCTCTGGGTCTAGGAGGAAGCATCAACTCAGATGAGATAGTGTCCCTTAAACTATAAACAGACTTCTTTCTGTGTATTATAGGTTTTCTTTTTGGGTAGATAATTAATGACTTTTTCAGACATCCTTACTGTTGCTTTGTCCTTCTCCCTCCTCCTTCTGTATTTATTTCCATCACTCCTCCCTAATTAGAGACCCCCATTTTCCATTTCCCCAGTCAAATTCCCTTGTACCCTGCTATTTCCCTTTCTTGTACTCCCTTACTGACCACCCAGGCCATGGTCCCAATTTACATTGCTGGTTTCTGCAGTTACTCCAGGGTATGTACTCACATCTGAAGTTTTGAAGTCAGGGACCTTACATTTCAAAGAAAACACAATATTTGTCTTTCTAGGTTAGGGTTACCTCACTCAATTTGATCTTTTCTAGTTCCAGAATGGACTTTTCTTTTTAAGAAAAATTTGTAAAGTAAAATATTTTGTACCTAACTGGAGAAGGCTGGGAGTCACGTCAGTTTGATAATTGTTGATTATTTGCTCTCTGTACATAATTAAAAGTGTTTGATTTTTGAAACTTTAAAAATGTGTGAGCATAATAGTCTTCCAGGAACTCAAAATCAGATATTCTCTTTTGTATTTTATTCAAGGTGACCACAGTAGAGAAGAACTTATTTTTAGGAAGAATTGGGAAATGAAATCTTAGTTGTCAAGATCACATTGAAGAAGTTCTGGGGTTTTATTATTCATCATGTAAGAACTTTTAGTTTCCTATGTTCTTTTTTGTTAGCATTTTTTAGATTGTGATATAATTACGTTATTTCCTCCTTTCCTTTCCTCCCCCAACCCAAGACCTTCATATGTATACCAGTCCTTTGTTTTCTTTTAAATTCATGGCCTCTTTCCTTTCATTATTACACACACACACACACACACACACACACACACACACACACACACACACTTCCATAAATAGATAAATACAACCTGCTTGGTCTGTATAATGTTACTTGTATATATGTTTTTTCAGAGCTGACCATTTGGTATTGGATAACCAGTTGGTGTGCTTTTTCCTGGGGATGTAGGTACAGGTTTTTGTCCGGACTGCTAGTTCCCAAATAACCACACAGAGACTTATTACTAATTATAAATACTCGGGTGATAGCTTAGGCTCGTTACTAACTTGCTCTAACATTTTAAATGAACCCATTTCTCTTCTTTTACTTGCTGCCATGGAGCTCATGGCTTGTCACCGCATTCTGTACATGTCCTGCTTCCTCTACATCTGGCTGGTGACTCCTGAGACTCCCCCTTCCTTCTTCCAAACATCCTCCCAGTCTGGCTTTCCTGCCCAATCTCTTCCTGCCCAGCTATACGCCAGTCATCTCTTTATTAACTAATGAAAGTGATACATATTTACAGCATACTAAGATTGTTCCACAGCATGGGGAGGACTATTTCTCCTCCTCCCAGAATTCCTTAGATAACTATAGTTTTTTGTCTAGAATTTAGGCCTCCTGGACCCTTCCCCCTGTTGGTGTCAGCATGCCTATTGGTGTCGTCATTGTTCAGCTCATGTTTAGGCAATCATATTGGTAAGACTTTATGGGTTTGGGTTCCAACATTTCTAAGAGACATAATCTCACAACAAAACTTCCTATTTCTCTTGCTTTTATAATCTACAACTCCTTTGCAGGAGTTGTGTTGTAAATGTATCAGTTGGGCTCTACAAATCTGAATTTTGATTGGTTGTGTTTTGTTTTGTTTTGTTTGTTTTTGGTCATGGTCTCCATCTGTTGCAAGAGAAATTTCCTTCATGAGAGGTGAGGACTACACTCACTGTGGGAATAAGGATAAATATTTAGAATGTAGTTAGAAATTTTGCTGTTTAAGTCAGATGAAGGTTGTGTGACCTCCTCCAAGATCCTTGACTTTACTAGTCCTGATAGTTAGGCAGGTTTCTAGTACCAGGCATGATTTCCTGCCTGTTGACCAGGTTTTATGTCTTATTAGAAAGCTCCTGGTTACTGCCAAGGTGTGTGTTCTAGTGCCACTAATGTACTCTTAAAGTAATTGTGCCATGATGGTTGTTATTGTGGTTCTTAGCATTGAGTTGTAGGATTAGAAGGCTGGAAGACACAGCGTTGAGTAGCAAGTGATTGACCACATTAATCTTTCATGACCACATGAAAATCTTTCTTCTACATTTTTAATTTAAGATTGTAGTTAGTCTTATATGAGCAAGGCGCTAGAACTACATTATAGTCTTCAAGATACATATATAGCATATTTTTGAGTCACAACCACACTGGTGCTTTGTACTCTTCTTGTTTTCGAGAACTCTGAAAGAAAGAGCTTAATTAACATTGTTTTACAATCTTAATGAGCACAAGTTGGAGCCACAGGAAGGGCCAGAGAATTATTACTAAGTGGAAAACTACCTTTGCAGATGTAATATCACAGTACTTCCTCAAGTGGGAATGTTTTGAATTGCAATTTGCCAACCATTGCTGGAGTCTGGGAGTCTGCATAAGGGACACAAAAAACTGTTTTCATTTGATTTCCCTGTAGGAAAATTCCCTACGGGAATTGTGGTGATATATAGTTTATGATCCAATAAAGCTAATGAAGATCAGGATGCAAAGTCAGCCACATTAGATAGCCATAGAAGCTGGGCAGCGGTGGCACACACCTTTAATCCCAGGACTCAGGAGATAGAGGCAGATGAATCGCTGTGAGTTCAAGGGCATCCTGGGATACATGAGAGTGAATCAGTCTAAAAGAGTAACAGAGCTCACAACTTTGATCCCAGAACTAGAGAGGTATATAAGACAGCACAGGGTCTCATGTGAGATTCAGTTTCCAGACACAGGGAAGACAGGATCTCCATTTCAATCTTGGGAGAGGTAAGAGTTACTGGCTGTTTACTTTGCCTTTCTGATCTTCAGCTTGAACCCAAATATCTGTCTCTGGGTTTTTATTATTTGAGCTACACAGACATTTTCAAGTCTGACTTAATTCCAAAACCCAAATATGTCTGCTGTTTGTTCCTAAGCAACCTTGAAGGTGTGCCTTCAGGTTGCCACCTGTGCTGCACAGTTCAGTTGACTGTCTTTATTTTCTTAGTGATGATGACTGTGGAAGTGGTAGCTTTTGAGAATTGAAGCAAGAGGGAATATCAGACTAGTGTGGCCAAAAGGATTGTTTGGCTACTGATGACAGCACAGATATTGTCTAAGAGCAGCGACCCAGTGGATAATTGAAGCAGCTTGAACACAGTTTTTCATTTTAAGTAATAAACAGAAATATTAGTGATTTCAAATGATTACCAGGAAATGAAAGCTGTATCTGAAGAAAAATTTGAGCTTTGAGCTTTGGGAATTTCAGATTATCACCATTGATATCCTGGTTTTAAGAAAGGGCTACATCTTTTTTTTTGCATTTAATTAAGAAACAAGCTTCTTTTACATGTCAATCCCAGTTCCCTCTCCCTTCCCTCTTCCCTACCCCCACTGAACCCCAATCCCTACTCCTTTGTGCTCCCCAGGGAGGGTGAGGCCTTCCATGGGAGAAATCTTCAAAGTCTATCATATCATTTGGAGCAGGGTCTAGACCCTCCCCAGTGTGTCTAGGCTGAGAGAGTATCCCTCTATGTGGAGAGAGCTCCCAAAGTCCATTTGTGTACTAGGGGTAAATACTGATCCACTACCAGTGTCCTGTTAAATTGCCCCAACCTCCAAACTGACCTCCTCATTCAGGGGGTCTAGAACAGTCGTATGCTGGTTTCCCAGCTATCAGTCTGGGGTCCTTGAGCTTCCCCTTATTCAGGTCAGCTGTTTCTGTGGGTTTCTCTAGCCTGGTCTTGACCCCTTTGCTCATCACTCCTCCCTTTCTACAACTGGATTCCAGAGTTCAGCTGTAGGTGTCTGCTTCTGCTTCTATCACCTACTGGATGAAGGCTCTAGGATGGCAGGTAAGGCAGTCATCAATCTCATTATTGGAGAAGGGAATTTAAGGTAGCCTCTCCACTATTGCTTAGATTGTTAGTCGGGGTCAACCTTGTAGATCTCCGGACATTTCCCTAGTGCCAGAATTCTCTTTAAACCTATAATGGCTCCCTCTATTATGGTATCTATTTTTTCTCTACTCTATTCTTCCTTATAGTCTCCTCTATTCAACCTTCCTGCTCCCTCATGTCCTCCTCTCCCCTTCTCTTTCTTCTAACTCCCTCTACCCTCACCCCATGCTCCCAATTAGCTTAGGAGATCTTGTCCCTTTCCCCTTCTCTGGGGGACCAAGTAGGTCTCTCTTAGGGTCCTCCTTGTTTACTATCTTCTCTGGCAGTGTGAATTGTGGGCTACTACTTCTTTGCTCTATGTCTAAGATCAATATATGAGTGAGGATGGTTTCTTCTAGTTCCATCCATTTGCCTGCGAATTTCAAGATTCCATTGTTTGTTTTGTTTTTTTCTGCTGAGTAGTACTCCATTGTATAAATGTACCACATTTTCTCTATCCATTCTATGGTTGAGGGGCATCTAGGTTGCTTCCAGGTTCTGGCTATTACAAACAATTCTGCTATGAGCAAATGGATGGAACTAGAAGCAACCATTCAGAGCGAGGTAACCCAGTCACAAAAAGACAAACATGGTATGTACTCATTCATATATGGATTTTAGACATAGAGCAAAGGATTACCAGCCTACAAT